ACTCTCTGCTGCCATCATCACATTGCCTTCTTCCTCCTTTGATCTTCTTGCCTCCATCTCTGGGACCTTTGTTATTACATGTAGGACCTACTCAGAGACAATCTCCTCATCTCAAAATAATTATGCATCATATTCTGCGGATTAGGACGGCTCTCTTGAAGGGGGTAATTTTCAGGATACCACATGTGGATACATTTTCCTCTCTGCAACTCACTTTCATAGTCTTTAAAATGGAGTATTTGCTTCATAGGCTTGATGTTTGTACAAGAACATGAGGTGCTGCTGTTAAAAAAATACTTGAAATGTGGAAGTGGTTGTGGAATTGAAGATAATCCACAGAAGCTTGGAGAATGCTGGGAGAGCTTATAGAGAAGGTTTAGATTTTCCTTGATGAAACGATTGCTGGGAATTTGAATTTTAAACGTGAGATCTCAGATCAAAATGAGGACCTTGGTATTGGACACTGGAAGAAAGGTGGTACTTGATAAAAAGTGGGGGAGAAGACACTGAGTTTTGTTTCACTGTTGGGTGGAAAAAAGAGCTTGTAAGTGATCAACTTGAGTCTTTAGCTGAGGAGGTTTCCAAGCACATTGTGAGGGGGTACAGCCTGGTTTCTCCTTGTAAAATGCAAACGGCAAGAGATCAGAATTATGAATCTACCAGCAAAGGAACTCCAAGGATTGCCAGCAGCACAAGGACCTGGCTACCAGCAAGGGAGGAACCCCTTAGGCTTAGCCCCTTCAGGGAGACCATGGCTCTGCCTACCTTTTCATGCTTGACACCCTGAACTATGGGACCATACGTTTCTGTGGCGCATGATCATGTGCTTCATGGCCGCCACCCCAAAGATAGCCTTGATCAATGCAACTGTTTCCTGCTCCTCATCCACGTAGCGGCCCAGCTGTAGTACCAGGTTAATGGCATGGGGCCCAGGGCAGGAGAAGAGGACACACCTGCTGATTTCCTCACAGGTGGTCTGCAGTTTTTCCTCGTTATCAAAGAGCCCCCAGGGTGTCCACAACAAGAAGATTCCTCCCCTTCCATTGTTGCTCTGATTTCTGACAGTTCTTGGTAACGGAAGAAGAAATAATTTTAGATTCAAATACTTTTCCCCCAAAGATGGTGTTTGCTGTTGCACATTTCCCACTTCCAGTTTTCCCCACCAGAACAATCCTCAGAGTGCTGTCTGGAAGGCCAGCCATGTTCTTTCAAGAGGCTCTGAGGTGCAGGTACCAACAAGACCTTAAGGAAGGGAATGAGAAGGGAAAAGGTGCTCAGT